TGTCTAGCCCTGGTTCTTGTCTTGCTAGTCCACATTGATGGTGAAAATTAGTACCTCCTGCCTCTAAATCCTTGTAGATCTTCTTTTCTACATAAGCTCTTAGTATTCATTATGTGTTGCCCCTGTTATTGGTTCTATTGTGCTTGTGATACATCCCTAGATCACAAGCTTCCGGGGAGCAACTATAGCTTATACTTCTTGTATATCTCCCACTGCTCTAGGGACAATGTTCTATATCTAAGTTCTAAGTAAGTGTATGCTAAATGACTCAACATTCATATCTGACTGAACTAAGGGAACATAAGTAATATCTGCTGATAATATTTCCCACATTCTCTGTTTCCTTCCATAAATACCAAACACACACACACACACACACACACACACAGACATACACACACCCCTATAGACACTAAAAGCAAAGTCTATCCTTCACTTCCATTACTCCAACCCCTAACGTCCCTTGGCCTGTCTTGATTTCTTATGGTAAAATACATTAATAAGTGGGCCTGTGCTTAGTTTTATCTTGATTTTCTTGGATTCCGTGATTCAGCAGAATGGGTACTCCCTGGCTTTCTCCCTATTTCTCCTCATTCTGAGTCTCCTTTGTGGGTTTCTGCCTATGGCCCACCCCTTGGTTATTGGTGTTCCTCAACAGTGTACCCCGTGCTTCTCTCTCAGCAATCACTCCAGGTAATATCTTTTATTATTATCTACAGGCTGTGACTACCAATTTCTATTCGCAGATGAGCTCTCTCCTCTGAATGTCAGAACCCTGTAACTAACTGCCTACTGGACATCTCCATGTGGATGTCCCCCTAAATGACCCAAACCAGAATTACCACCTTCCCTCTTCAAACCTGATCTTACTCCTATCTCTGAAAATGGTACCACAATCAACCCAATTACCTAAACCAGACTCTTTCCTCTTGGCCTGGCTAACCACCAATCATCAATGGCTGTTAGCTCTGCCCCCATCACATACCTCTTTATCTCAGTGGTCGCTAGGCTAGTTCAGGTGCCAGCATCCCTCACAATATTACAGAAGTCCTGTCTCTCTCACTAAGTATGGTGTTAAGCCCTCCAGGCTATTTATGCTGAAACCAGAGGAATCTTTCTTTCCTTTTTTTGTTTTTTTCTCTTTTATGTAGGCTTCATGCCCAGCATGGAGCCCAGTGGGGGTTTGAACTCTCAACCCTGAGATCAAGACCTGAGCTGAGATCAAAAGTCAGATCTTTAACCCACTGAACCACCCAGGTGCCCCTCTTCTAAAGTATAAATTTGATCATGTCACTCTGTGCCTAAAAATCTTTCATTACATCCCATTGTTCATGATAAAGCAAAATTCCTTAACTTGGCTCACAAGCTCGTGCATGACCTCAGCCCTGCCACCCCAGCCCCAATGCTAACCTTCTTTCTAGCCCCTCTAAATGTCTTTACTACCTAAATGTCTTTACTACCTCAAATGTGCCATACTGTCTCTCATTTTTTGAGTATTTCCTCAACGTCTCACGCTGCTCCCCTAACCCAGTCCCCAGTTTTGCCATAACCCCTGCTTATCCTTCAATTTAGCTCTACCTCTTCCAAGAAGCCTTTCCCAGCTCCTCAAGTACAGATGAAGGTCCACTCCTTGGCATTCCCAGAGCGTATATACTCTCTCTGTGATTGCATTTATCATGCTGTGTTATCCTTGGCTTTTTTTCTGAATCTCTTACTAGCCTCCCCCATAAGAACAAAGATTCTATCTATTTTGTTTGAAGCTTAATCTCCAACATCTGGCCCGATGCTTGGCACATAGTTAGCCTCAGAAAATATTTGCTAATGCCTGCCTTGAAAAATAAATTACATGAAATCACTTTTCCTACGTGAGTGAGATATACTGGGAAGAAAAATATTTCTTACCTTGTATTTAAAACTAGAAATAGGTTTTCCCTTTCCTAACCTTACTGGCTGCTTTAATGATCAGGAAAAGGCAACTTCCATGTGAAGTGAGGTGAGGCAGAAACTGTAGATAGAAGTTTGATAGGAACGGTGCCAGTGGCCAGTGAGAGCAGATTCCCTTTCATCATGAGATCCACACAGAATGGGGGGTCTAGAAACCTCTAAATTAATTCCCCCGGGGATTGTTGTGGGGTTGGTTGGTTGGTTGGTTTTTTAACTTATTGATTTACTGACTGATCTGAGATAGAACCAATAATAAGTACATTTCAAACTCCTGGTGCATTCTGGAAGATAGAACTATCAGTTTTTCTATGCACATTAAATACATACTAATAATGTCATTCAGACCTCATACTTGGCAGAGTATTTACGTTAAAAGGAGCCTAATTCTTATTTGACTACTCAGACCACCTGGCACTCCCAGTAAATTCAAAGGGACTCCAGGTTTGATTCCTTTCCAATTAGACCCTGAGCAAGACAAGAAGTAGTATATTCAATGATTCAGTGATTAATCATGTCAAAGTTAAAGACCAAGGTGCAAAGAAATCCACTGTCTTGCCCTGAGTGGATTAAGGAGAATGTTTTTAAGGAGGTGATTAAAACTAAAGGTCTTAGCTGGCAAAGCCTATAGGATCTGTTGACTCTTTCTGAGAAAATAAACTGCCTAAATTAAATAGTAACTCCACCAAGAGGCATTTGAAAGCCACTTAGAGCAGAATGCTCTTGTCAGGAATGTGAGGCTTAATTTTCTTCCTGGGTGCTGGGGATACTAGTTAGCGTGTAACAAGGAGAAACAAAATAAACAAACACAATTATTTTGTCATATCCAACGTTGGATTCCTGGGTCCAACATATCTTAAATTACAGCTAATGGGCCCTAGAAGAATTCAGGGAAAGTAAGCAAGCCTTTTAAACACTGAGCTTACAAACCTAACCCTGAAACGTAGACTTCTGAACTCAGAGGGAGCCCCGTTAGAGCTCTCTAGGGCTGGAGCGTTCTGGTTCCCCCAACGTTTAGATGCACATGTGGCAGACAGAGTCAAACAAACACAGAACTCAAGTCAGGAGACCTGACTTTAAATCCAAACTTTTATATACACCAGCAGTGTAAATTCGGATAAGTAAATGCCTTTCCGGAGCTTTGGAAACCTCAAGGTACAACTTGTAGATTAAAAAACCGGGTTGGTTGGTCTCTTCTCTTCTCTTCTAGAAACAATCTGCTATGGAAGTAGCAAGTCTCAGCTGGCCTCCTTGGCAAAGGGTTAAAATTCACTTCACATCTTTCTGTGTTGCTTTTAGCAGCAAACTGTAAAGCTCTTTCACTTATGCCCAATTACACTGCAAAATGTCAAGCTTGTGAATTTAAAAACTTACTGTCAACACTTTGCTGCAAGTAGATATTAATTGATATTAAATCACTATGGAATGCCTATAGAAATGCACTGCATGCCAAAGACTTTCTGACAGAGGAAAGGTAAGCACAAGGAAATAATTAGATATGACTTTCCATTTCATTACAAATGCTGCTAAATATTTAATTCAGTAGCACTTGGGTTCTCACTGTCTTTATTATTAGCTTACTTGTATTCATTTTGTCTAGTTCTCTGTAGGTTTTTTTTTTTAAGCCCCTTAAAATAAAAGAATATAATATTCAAAATCAATTGGCTTCGTTAATCATAGTGCTTTCTCAGCATTAACTATTAAACTGAAATCTGGGTCTGCGATAATGCTGAGACAATTCAAGACTTACAAACATTTTTATGAAATAAGATGGGTACCTTGGACTTGAGCATGGAGTTATCATTATAATTGGAAGGATATAGGTAAATTCAAAAATTATTTAAAATTATTCTCTACCTTACAAAATTCGGGTCATGGAACAGATGTAAACGCTGCTTGCCTGTACTGCCGACTTTCTTCTCTTCAGACAGGGAAATATTATACTTTTCGTGTCCTTGAGATTAGATGTAGTCACGTGACTTGCTTTAGCCAATGAGAAAAGAGTGTCACTCCCAGAGAGAAGCATGTAATGGCTGGTAACCATTACAAGCCCTGCCTTGGTTACTATAGAAGCACATATAGATATGAAGACATGACACTGAGTCATCATGTGAAAGGTTACCCTAGGGAGTAACCCAGCCATGCAGGAGACTTAAAATGAATAAGAAAGGAACTTCTCTTGCTTTAAGATTTAGGGCTATTTGTTACCACAACATCGCCTAGACTTTCTAACCAATACAGAGACCACCAAGTCCTACCATATACCAAGCTCCCTGGGTTCCCTAAGCATGTCCTCACAAACTGTCCATTCTCTCCTCTAATTTGCTACTAAACTTAGAATCATACTTTTTTTTTTTTTTAGGAAAACTATTAAGAATATATTGGGTGCTAGCACCTGGAAAAGCAAATGATTGGATTGACTATATATACATATAACCTGGACAGAAAAATTCACACATTCATATACTGGACTAAATGTCTCCTGAAATTTTCTCTTACTGAATCTAAAGGGTGTTTCCTTTTGTTTCCTATTGCTGCTATTACAAAGGAAGTGACTGAAAATAATGCAAATGTATTCTTTTACAGTTCTGGAGAGCGCGAATCTAAATCAAAGTGTTAGCAGGGCTGTGTTCCTTCTGGGGACTTCAGGGGGAGGTCTGTTCCCTTGGCTTTTTTCACTTCTAGTGCTGCTTGTTACCCCATTTTCAAAAAGCATCAGTTCAACCTCATTTGCATCATCACATTTCCTACCCATTCACTCTGATCTCTTGCCTCCCTCTGATAAGGACCCTGTATTTACACTGGGTTTACAAGGATAATCCAGAAAAATCGCCCCCATCTCAAGATCCTTAACTTAAACACATCTGCAAAGACCCTTTTGCCACACCAGGTAACATTCACAGTGGGTGTTTTTAAATCATCTGGCCCGGGCGCCTGGGTGGCTCAGTTGGTTAAGCGACTGCCTTCGGCTCAGGTCATGATCCTGGAGTCCCAGGATCGAGTCCCACATCGGGCTCCCTGCTCGGCGGGGAGTCTGCTTCTCCCTCTGACCCTCTTCCCTCTCGTGCTCTCTCTCATTCTCTCTCTCTAATAAATAAATAAAATCTTTAAAAAAAATAAATAAATAAATCATCTGGCCCATCTTGCTTCATCATCACTCTGCACCCCTTCTCTCCCTTGCCTAGCACAATGTCTTAAATAGAAATCCTTGCTGAAGAAATGAATGTTTAGCTCAAATGTACACTGTGTCATATCTCCTTTATCAAGAGCCCAAACAATATGGTTAATAAAGATACACACACAGAGAGAGAAAAGTAATGCCTCTCACAAAAGCAAGAATAGGAGAACTTAAAGTAGCTCGATTTAGGCTAATCAAAATTAATGGGAAAGGAAGTAAAATATTTTATCACACTGGCACTTAGTATTAAGTCTTTAGCAATATGAAAAAATGCATCAAGTCTATGACAATTCATATAAATACACATATTATACATACATATGTCAGCATTTGATACATCTGCATGGATTCAAATCACTATTACTAATCAGAATATGAGCTATTATGTCTTCTTGCTGAAAGTTGCTTATCAGTTGTCTTTCATTCTTCTCATATGAGACAATTTGCTGAAAGGAAGAGTCCATTATTTCACTCTTCTCAGTTTGGGGTCTGCGCAGGACAACTCCCTCTACTTCTATTCTCTTGGTGCCTTCATATTCCCTAATTCACATGGGCCCTGAGATTTAAAAAAAAAAAAAACGAAAAACAGTAAAGATTCCCCTTGAAATGTGTGATCTCCCTGGGCACCTGAGTGCCTCAGCCAGTTAAGTGTTGGACTCTTGATTTCTGCTCAAGTCATGATCTCAGGGTTGTGGATGGAGCCCTGCATCGGGCTCCGTACTGGGAGTGGAGCCTGCTTGGGATTCTCTCTCTCCTTCTGGTCCCCCCACAATGTGCACTCTCTTTCTCAAAAAAAAAAAAAAAAAAAAGTGTGATCTCCCAATTCTACTAAACCCTGTGACTCCATGATAATTTTTGCCAGCACTTTCCTCTGCTGACCCAGCACTTACAGGTTGAGGAAATTCACTTTTATGGGCTGTCAAATTTGCTGGTGCTCTAACAGCTGAACCTACAGTTCATAACATTCTTTCTGAAGAACAACATTGACAATTCTGGGATCTCCCACTGGTGAATATAATCTAATTGGAACAATTATCGATGGTTTCTTAGATTGCAAATAAATCTCAACCACAATAACAACAACAAACAAAAGTTTGACTGCAAGTTGTGAAGTGAAAGCTAAAACTGTGAAAGACCCAAGTGTTGTTTTAAAAGGCTATTAGAGAGAACACATAGTAAGTACTTTTTGGCCACTGATAAGTGGTACCCAAAGGTCAGCAGACACATAGTGGCCTGAGAATGCCTCAGAGGTGGTGGCCCCCATGGCTGTGGCTGGGAACTAGGGTCAGATGAGCCACAACAGTAAATCCAACAACATTCCTTGGCATCCCAGACCAATACCCTGCTCGTGTAGGCTTTTCTCCCTTGAATTTCAGATCTCCTCTCCATGCTAAGTGTTCTGCTCACTTTATTCCTAGCTTAGTTTCAGTTTCATCATCCATAAAATAATGTTAGAAGAATGAATGAGGATAACTTATATAAAACACCTAACTAACATATCACAGCACAACAGGTCCCCCAAAAGTACTATTTGACTGATTGCTTGGTTGATTCATTGATTGAATCATTCATTCGATGTATTCAATATGTACAAGTCTCTCTACTAGGTGTGGGAGATAATCCTGTCCAAAAAGTCATGGTTTTTTAAGGAGAGTTTTTTCACCTGGGGTCTATGGAACCCTAAGGTAAAGATATGTAATTTCAGAAGTTCTGTGATCTTCTGAAATTATAAGCAGAATTATATTGTGTTCATAAGTGCTTATGAAAATTTTTCTAGAAATAGGTTTCATCAAAAACTTGAAGGAATCTATGTAGTGGTCATCTTTGTCACCATGTGGAGAAGCCTACCTAAGATGAAAGCCAACAAGGAAGAAAACTATAGAAATCTGGAAAAAGACAAAATTGCAATAACTCTTGTTAAAAGACATTCTTTCATTGGATTTTTTAGTTACATAAGGAATAAATTTTAGTTTTTGTGCAAACCTGTTACAATTGTCTTTCTCTCCTTTTAGTCAGCTTGGCTTTCTTATTTTTGAAGTCCATTACTTTACCCATCTCCAAGTCCAAATTCAATCCCATCAGCCCATGGTTTACAATGCCTTCTTGTTTTATCACTTCCACATTCACTTCTTCCCTTGTTCCAGAACATGACAGCAGAGATTATTTTCCCATTCTGATAGGCCCTGAGCCATTTGCAGAATCACAAAACCAACACTTAAGTTCCCTTCATTGTTTTCACTCCCATCTTCAGCAGGCCAGAGTGATGGTATAAACTCTGTCCCAATCAACGTAGTTCTACTCAATACCCACTGGGCATTCAATACATATTTGTGAAATAAATGAAATAAAGATTTCCCTGTTTCTCTGGAATCTTTCTCTTTCATTCTTAAAAGGAAGAGAAGTACCAAAAATGGAGTTTGATCCCAGGGCCTCACAGGGGACCAATCCCCAGGACAAGAGAATATTATCTTCATCCTAACTTGGTGCATGACAGGTCTGAGAGGAGAGTACACATAAAGTTAGAGAAGTGGGCAGGCCCGTTGCAATAAATTTGAGGCAACATCTAGTTTCACTTTTATGGCACAAATTTTTAAAGCCTAACCTAAGCAATCATAACACATAAATAGTAAGTGAATAAAAAATGAAAGTTAATATTTGAAAATGAAACCAGTCATTAGATGAAAAGGGTGGGATGGGAGCTATATTTTCTCTTTTCAAAAAATTCTTGTACAATGTATAATGTTATTTAAAGTATTTTCAAAACATTGGCATAAATGGCTATTTTTTTAAAGTATTGCAGATAATTCACTTGTGTTGCAACATATCCTCAAGTGGGAAAATTCCCTGATGACAAACTATCTAGAAAGTAGGGCACTGAGGAGACAAATACCCACACACACATACATTTGGGGTAAAATAACAAATTCATTTGATTAAATGGACTCTGTTTTATCATCATATGTATATGATGTATATCAAAATAGAGAAAAATGTCACAAGAATGCCTGGAGAGGTTTTTTTTCATTGTCAGACCTGAATGAACATAAGACGTGTGTTTTCGAAGCTATGTTTAAAGAAGAAGAAGAGGGCCTATGCCTCTACGTGGCAATCCCCCGTCGGGGTGGGGGGTGGGGAGCCAGCCCAAACTACTGGGCAGAGAAGAGAAGGAAGAGGCTTCTTAGGAAATCCCTGTGAGCTATAAAGGAAGTGACAACACAGAAAATTCAGAGACCCAATAACCCCCTAAGAGCCACAGAAGCCTCTAAATTTCCATTGGAGGTTTTGAGAGGTGGCCCTGGTGAGAGGGGAAAATGACACAAGAGAGAAGAGAAGAAACAGCAAAGGCCTTTTGGGGGACGCCTAAGGAATGTGGAGACACAGTGACAGGATCCGGGGCAATGGAGACACCGGGAGCAAAGATGGTCGACCCTCGCTTCCCCGCTGTACTCAAACAGCCCGCAGGACACTGGGGCAGACACTGGGCTGAGGGGTTGCCTGCACAGTGGGAAAGAGAAGTGTAAAACTCAAGAAGTGGGGGAAATGCCTCTTTCAGAGGGGACTTTCCCTTGCCAGTGAGGTTTCAGATCATGTTCTGCAACAACCTCGTGGCTTGTGACAGGGCTTCAGGGAAATGAGACAACCCAAATGCAAATCACAAAGGAAAAGAAATTCATCAGTGGCTTGAGCAAACAAACTGAGCCATGCTGAGTCTGAAAAGGCAGAACTCTCAGGTAGGGTGAACCGTAGCAAGTGCTGCTTTGAAAGGGGAACAGCAGAGAGGAAGGGCACATGTCGCTCGGGAGTAAATCATCATCAGAGCCTCCGTTTCTGGACGGCCTACTACGTGCCTTGAGCTCTGCATGCCTTACCTCTTCTCCATCCAGCAGATGATGTGAAAGAGACATTATTAACCCTATTCTCACCTGCACAGAGGAGGAAACACACTCAGAGAAATGCAGTAGGAAATCAGCCAACATCACCCAGTTCCAGGGCCAAGATTCAAACCTAGGCCCATCTGATACCAGGGATTGTGCTTCTCCCCTTGACCTTTCTGCCACTGTGCAAATCACAATCTTCTTCATGCCCAGATTTTCCTTTGTGACATGGTACAAGTAAGCTTAATATTAGGTAAGATAGCAGCTTAAAATTAGCCGATTTCATCCCTGAGATGTCAGTCACTAACCAGTTTTGTGGAAATGGTAACTCATGCGACTTCTCTGAGTCTCCAGCGTTCTCATTTATAAAATGGGTCTGTGCTGGGGGCTCTTCACTTCTCAACCTCTGTGAGGCATTCCTAGTCTTCCCCTGCCAAAGGAAGGAAATTTCAAAGTCGTGTTTCTTTTTTAACAGAATATATAATGGGATTATCAAATTCCAGTTCTCTGTGGATACCATGCGTGGAAGGATCCCATGCTTAGAAAGTAAAACTACTCTTAAGATGGTGTTTTAGATGGCCTTGCGAATGGAGCCAGAGCATTCCCAGACAACCCTCTGGTAGCAGAAAGGCTGGATGGAAAAAAAGCCACTCCACATTCTTTGCCCCTTCCCAGCATAAATCATCACTTACTGTGGGAAAACGATTACTTGCCAGGAGGTAGGGCCTATGACTCATTATACAGTTGTCCTCGGCCCCTGATCGAGCAAGAACTAAAGGTGGAAAGACTTGAGAAGCCAGGGTGAGGACTCTGAATTGCCAACAGTTTCACCTATGACACCATAGGAGAGGAAAACTGAAAGCTAGGTGAGCAGCAGGGCAAAGTGGAGTCACCACACTGCTATGCTGTGGGGCCGAGTCCAGAGCAGAACGACATGGGCCCTGACTTACTGAGTCATTCTTTGGGTCTGAGTCTTTACAGCCCCAAAGAGGCAATGATCAGCAAAATGCAAATAATGCCACCCCCCGGCTTGTCCTGACAGGCAACCAGCTGGCTAATTAAACTTGTGTAAGAGATATCCTCCTCATCAGAAAACACCAGCAAACTTCACAAAGAAGGGGTTAAATAGCTCAACATCAGCGTTCATATTCTAGAATAGAAATACATGAGAGACAGACACCGCAAACACCTTCCCTTGTGGTTTCAGCAAATATCCTGTTATCCTTTCTCCTTTGTTGCTATAAGCTATGGCAGATCTACTGTAAATACACTTTCTACTATATTTTTCTACATGGTCTTTCATGTCCTTAAAAATGATGTCCTTTGAACAAAGAGCTATTTTGTGATCAAAAGCATAGAAAGTTAAAATTACATACCGCATATATAAAATCCTAGGAACTTACGAAGAGCAATAGGAAAATTGATCTGTTATCTACGCTGAGTATTGTTCTCTACTTTCTTTAATGTCTTAAAGGTAGCAAAAGTAGTTCCTTGTGGCGATGATGTAGAAGGGAAGATTTTTTTTAAATTCTCCTAGTCTGAGGAGGGGCTGTTAGATAGGGTCTAGGGGTGGTGGCTTGTGATTAAGGAGCTAGAGGGAAGATACTTGGAATAATGAAACCAGTGTTAACCAGTCTTTAACTGATGTTAGGAAACAATAGGTCTTTGGATGTGAAGAATTGAGAGAATGGAAGCCTCTTCCTCATGCTAGTAGGAGAAGTATAGATTATTTCTTCAAGTATATTCCACAGAACTCCAGGCCTTTAAGCCATTCTGCATAAGGAAGGTTTTATACTCCAAAGGAAGCAGTTTGGAGAACTCTGCAGAGTGATGTCTTCCACACCACACCCACCTTGTGGGAGAAACCTGGCCCCATTGTCAGACCTAGCATTTCCCGAAATTACTGAAGACCTCAGAACCATGCCCCTCCCCTTTTTAGGTTTCATGTGATACCTATTAATCCAGTACAACTAGTGCTTCATGACTAGTGTCATGATGAGAAAGAAAAATATAAGGGGAAGAATTTACATGGAAAGGGATCCACAGAAGGTTCCTGATCAGTGATGCCCAAAAAGGTAAAATCCCAATGTGAAGAGAGGTAGCCAAGAGACACCATGCAGGTGATGGATTAAACCAACCAGGGGAGGGGATTAAAACGAGAAAAGAGAATTAGCACTTATAATACTTAAATTATATGGCACACAATGTACCCAGCTTTGTGGGAAGGAATTATAACTCCACTTACCATTAGGAAAAATAAGCAACTCATCCAAGACCCTATACCAAGTAAGTTAAAGCACTGAGGCTTAAGCAGGTACTTACAGCCAGACAGCCACGCAGAGCAAGGTGCAGGGGTTGCCGGCCACCTAGCCTGGGATGGGAATGGTACATGTGGACTTGTGACAGAGCAGTGACACAGTCCTCCTGGGATGTGAAAACAGATATGCAAGTTTTCAAAGCCGGAGTGTGCTTTCCTCTCTCTGCAAGCAGAAGCAGGCTGATGAAGCAAGAGGAAAAAAACAAAAACAAAAAAACCCCTTCTATTTTTTTCCTCCCCTCCATCTTGAGTCCCTTAGTTATCAAACTTCCAGAGAAACAGAGAGGCAGGAATTGTGCCTTTAACCCTTTCTCTTGCCAATTCAAAGCAGGCAAACTTTTCTCTCACAGGGGGTCCTCTCTTCTGATGTCCAGAGGAAAACAGACCCCAGTTTTTCTCCCCCAGAGGGGACAGACCACAGGAAATCTACATGAGCGCCTGTACTCGTCCTTCTGATTTCCATTCCTCTGGCTTTCTCAAATCCTTACTTTGTGAGCATTTGTGGCTGTATCTAGGATGTTGGACCACCGTGACAGGGAAGGATTATGCAAAAAGGCAGGTGCTCTGTCCTAAAAATAAACATTCTCTTTCAAGGGCTGCCATCAACTTTATCTAAACTAATACTAGACTCTCAAGGTGGTTGGAGTTCAGGGGAAAATTTTAGTTTTCTTGGGTATATTGTTTACATGAGAGATAGTGTCTTATAGAGCCCATCTTCACACAATGCATGGATTGGAGGGACTGGGTATTACAGGCAAGATGCTACCTAATCAGTAAGTTTCACCTTATTTAATCTCCCCTACTTATCATTAAAAAAATATTACCCCAATATATCTGTTTTTACCTACAGATTGCATAACTGTGTTGCCAACTAATATATTATGAATAATATAAAGCATTCACAAAAAATGAATTTTTAAAAATATTTAAAGATACATTTATTTATTTTAAATTATTTCCCCCATACCTCAATAAATCAAGGGATATGTGCACCTTACTTTGGGATCACTGACCTTACAGTTCGCCTGTCATGACAGAACTCATCTATTAAAAGAGCTCAGAAAGGTTTTGAGTCTCTAAATAATCTTGTTAAAATCCTAAATAGCCCATTAATAACATGATTGGTCTTAAGGCAATTGAACGATGCACTCAGAAGATTTCATCAAGCAAAAGAATTTAGGCCACTGGTTGGCTGGTTCATACCCAGTTACTTCTATTTCTCCAAATGTTTTTGGATCACCGCCCGTTGGATTTTAAGGGAACAGCTACATATCATCTCCTCAGTAATGTTGCTCTCCCTCAAGTGTGTGTAATCTTGCAGAGCTGTTTCTCTAGAAGAGAGCAAGGTTATGTGAAGGGGAGAGAACATCTCTCCCTCCAGGGCACTTATGCAATGCAGGGTCAAGGGCTCTGTCTACAGAACTCAAAACCAGATCTTTAGGGAGTGCTAGGGGAAGAAACGGGGCTGAGCAGAGATGCTTGGGCATGGCAATTGCTTGAGTTTTCAGACAAAGAGTGCTGTCGGAAGCACAAGGAAATATTTGGCACAACCAATTAAAAAAAAAAAATACAGGCCTGGGTATGGGGTATTAGCTGAGGATAGGAAACCACTAACGCCCTTACATGCACTCTCCATCTAGATGCTCCCATGCACAAAATTCTTCTACACAGAAGGAGAGTATTGGTGGTTCGCCTCACTTTTCCTTTAAAGGTGTGTTCACTTCTCTTTCCATCTAAAAAAAGTCTGTATTTGTTTTTTAAAAGACTCCTTGGCAGGGAAACCCACCAAACTACCGTTAACCTCTTAGTGTGGCCTTGGGGAAGGGTCCCATGACCAATGAAAGTGCTAAGAGGATTGAAAATTCGGTGATTGATAACACGGTAGAGAAGGAAGATGCAAAGGGAAACTAGAAAGGCTATTGCTCTGAAAGGGGGAGATGCTGGGGGAAAGTGGTGAATAAGATCTCTGAAGGGCAAACAGCATCATTCAGACTTTGGTTTAGAAACCATTCTAATGGCAGCCACTCGAAATTTTGGTTCTTTGTTGGGTTAGTTCAGTGATCACTGAAATGAGGAAGTAAGCCGAACACTTTTGTAAGCCTCAGAGTCCACAAGAAGTTATGAAAATTCCTGGTGGGCTTCCACCAGACTCTAACACGAAGGCAAGGAAAGACAGGGAGATTCCACCGATGAGTCAGACCAAAGGGACAAGAAAGACTCCAGAAGTTTTTCTCAGACAAAATGAGTCTGTAAGAGTTCGGGAGAATGAAATCAAGTTAACAAATTTGGGAGATATGGGTGTATTTTCTACAGAACCTGAAAAAGAACACTACATGATAAATCTTTGGACATAAAGACTGATGTGAAAAGGATGCTCAGATTAAAAAAAGAAAAACAGAAAGCAAAGGAGCTGGGCCCTGAGGCTGGTAACAGTGTTGGGGGAGGCCCTTGAGATTGTGGTCAGTTGGGACGAGGAAAGACCCAACCATACCTGGAGGTGCTCGGGGAAGGCGAAAGCAAGTCCACTGTCTGTGAGAGGAGTTGATGAGTGAGGCTGAGTACGGGGCCAGACTTTGTCACATCCTAATTCTTAATGAAATCAGGATGGCAATGACCTTGCCAAAGGCACTTTAACTGTACGGCCCGAAGGAGACAGAGATTAACTGTATCAGGAAGAAGCACACTGATGGGAGATGACTAATATATGGATGAGAATTTCTCGTAAGCTTTTTCTTATTGAACACATCTGTGATAAAGGCTCTGGCATCAAATTTTATACAATACTAAAATTGTAAAAACTCTGAAGTGACTATTAAATGCGTGATGTCAGAACTAATGTGGGCATAAATAACACTGGACAGTAATTTAGAAGGTTCTAATCACATCTTGACAACAAAAACATTAGAGTCTATATAATGTCAAAGCATCTGAATGAGAAGAGAAAAACACAGGCAATAATGTTTCCTGCAAAAGCCAAACATCTGGATATTTTGGAAGACTAAACATCTATTTCATAAAACCACAGTATTTAAAGTTAAAACATTCTATGATCTGCTTGGATCTAATTATTTTCCATGGTTTTCCGTAAATATGGCAAAATAGTACTGGTTCAATAACTAATAACTGAATATGATAAAATTATTAATATGTAGCAGTGGTTGAAATTCAAAATTACTGTACGATGTATGTATTTGTTTTAAGATTTTTATTTATTTATTTCACGGAGAGAGACAACACAAGCAGGGGGAGTGGGAGAGGGAGAAGCAGGCTTCCTGCTGAGCAGGGAGCCCAATGTGGGGCTTGATCCCAGGACCCCGGGACCATGACCTGAGCTGAAGGCAGCCGCTTAACTGACTGAGCCACCCAGGCGCCCCTGTATGATGTATGTATTTTTAATGCCTGTATTTTATACATAATGAATCTTTTACAAATAATTTGCTCAGTTGCAGACGGGCAGAGTCCTTCAGAACTCATGACTATCTTTTGCTGTTTCCAGAGTCCTAGTTCATCCTGTATGTGGTCATTTACATCTTTTAAATTGGACTTAAACAAGAATTTTTTTTTAATTAGCAATCATTTCTGTTATATGTTTTTATCTTATAGCCTCCTGTTTTATTGTAGCCAAAGTGTCTGCTTCCTTGCCATCTTCCCAGCTACACTGTAATTCCTCCTGTGCTCGCATGCGGTCCTCAGTTTCTGGCTGTGTTTGGAGCACAGCAGGTGCTCAATTAATATTTATTAAACTAAACAAGAGCTAAAACTGACATAAAATTAAGAATTCGACTAGAGTTCCGAGAGCATGTCAGATCATTTGCACTTTAACTAATTTCTATACTTAAGCAAAACAAGTTAGGCCTGCAACTTTGATTTCACTGGGTTCTTCAGTATTCACATCAACTTGGATGCAGTTTTATTATTTTAAATGTGTGTAGTTCAGCTTGTTCATTATGACTTTCCTTTTTGTTTTTCCTTTTGCTGATTCCTTGCCAGCTTTTCTACACTTCCTTCTCACTCCCCACTTTGTCACTGCCTCTGGACAAATCCATTCAGTCATTTGTTAGATTTAAGATAAAAGAGACATGGGAAGAAAAAACAAACAGAAACCTTGGGCATCGCCTTTTTACTTTAATTTTATTTCCCAGATTACTGTAAATACAACTTAGAGCTATGTTTTTTTCTTTTCCCTTTTAGTACATTGTACACCCTGGACAGGCAGCTATGGTTTCTTAATGATTCTACATGATTTTTGATGTCTGCCCTTTAAATATTCAAAACAGTTTGTTAAGTCCATAATTAAATTTTAACTTGTTATTCAAAGTCTGTGCCTATGCCCAACCACTGAGAAACACAAAAGACAAATATTGGCACTCATTTTCATAACATAATTAGAATCCATTTCCCAAGGGGGAAAAATATTTTTCTGGTTTGACACTTCTGTGCACAGTGACCCACCTCTCTGTAGACCCAGGCAGGGGTATACTACAGGCCAAGCCAGGTACAAGGGCTACCTTTAAATGATCCCAATTCCCGAACAGAGAGCAAGGTCAGGAGTGAAGCCCATAGCTATCCTTCAACATGGATCTCCAAATCTACCTCTTAACGCTTGCCTTCTTGCAGTTTGAATAATTTTTTTGAACTTATAAATTTGGAATAAGTTTTTGTTTTAATCAATTTCAGCTGCACAGGAATAGAGATGGGAGTACAACAAGCCTTCCCACCTCCCCAAACCATTAATCAAATATTCTGATACGTTCTCTTCTAAAGGGGCACACCTTAGTCCATGATTTCCAGAACAGGCCAGGTCAAAATGTTACACACTCCAAATTCAAATGATATACAAAATATTTGCCTGTTTTTTTTTTTTTTCTACAGCATAATCTAAGCTAGCTCCCAAGAAGACTGCAGAATTGATTAATTTTATGTATTAAACTTTCTGTCCTATCCTCCAGCTTTCTAATTCCCAGGGGAATCTACATTTGCAGATATACTTCGACACCTAAGTATGAACTAGACTTGAAGGTGTCTACCCAAGTCTTCAACCTCACTGTTTCTATGCTACAAGAATCACACTGCTTCAAATGGAATTTTGTTGTTTCACATGTATTTAATTCGGTGTTTATATTGTTTGGTTTATTAGTTTGTTTTAGGGCTTTGCTCTTTATT